GAAACATTTGCGCAAGCCAACAGGCAGACAGACAGACGCACGGACAGACTGATGGAGATATATGTGTATGTGATAGATGCAATCAGAATGATGCCACTTTAGAGTAGCAACAATACAAATTACTAATTTACACGCGAACACAAGGCAGCAACAGCCACGCCCCGGCTATGCAATGCGATTTCCTGGGAATTAGCAGTCGACAGTTAGTTGTGATATGCAAACGTAATGAGCTATGATTATGGCCAAACTGCAATTAGTAATTGAAACATTAGACGCACGCGTATTGCCTAATGGCATTTGAAGAAGACGAAGGAAGCGCAAACATCTCGCTGCAAATTCAATTTAAGGCCACGCCTCGAAAGCTGTTCATAAAAATGATTTAAAGAAATCTGAATCTGACGACAAAGTTCATTGAACGGGCAACAGGAGCTGCCAAAGGAGTTGCAAGCGATGGCATGGGCAGGGGCAGAGGCAGGGGCAGGGCCGCTGCAGGAAAGGCAGGCGAAGCCAGTCGAGGCCGCAGGCAGCGAATGCTCGTTTGTGGAATGTGATGGAACAGTTTATGAATTGAATAAACCGGAGCCAAGGTGATGAGTTATTCAAAAAGCATGTGCAAAATGTCAGAAGAAATCAAATGAGATTAAAAAGTATAAAATGGAATGAGACGAAAACGAGCGAACGACCGAACGGCTGACAGGCAGACAGTTGAGTGGGCGGGACGGGGCGGGTCGGGGCGTTGGCGGCGGCTTGAAAAGGGCTAAAAAACACAAATGTTTGCGATGCCTGGAAAATAAGGGGCGGCTGTGACCGTTAGTTTGGCCCCAGGCAAGGACCGGGCAACCGTTCAAATGTGAAGCCAAGTTGGGAACTTAACAAATGCCAAAATAAAGTTAAAATAAAAAACCAAAAAAAAAAAAACGAGAATGAGCGCAGCGAAATCGCAATTTGAACTTTTCGTTCGTTTCCATTTTGGCAGCTGGCGTTTCTTGCGTCAAGCGGACATTGGTGTCTGATTAGATTTGGGCCATAGCCATAGCCACGCCCCCGCATCTCCTGTACTCCCACTCTTATTTCGACTGCCACAGTCAACACTTGAGCACGAATCGTGCGCGTTGCAGCCACCTGAAAGAGCAGCGGCAATGAGACCAAAAAATGTAATTTCCAATTGTGCAACAAGAGCGTACATGACGATTATGTGCATACCCTGTAAATGTGAAAAGTATAGAGTTGGGCATAGACAAGAGAACTAGCTTATGTATAGCAAATCTAAATACTTTTGTTAGCTGTGAAATCTCAGCGGACTCAAACACTATTGGATTGATCGTACTCAAATTTGCTATATTAATTTTTCATATATATGAGAAACATTTAAGAAAATATACTTTATAAGCCTAATTCTATATTAGCAATTAGACTTTTCTTATCGATCTCAAAGATTCTTAACCTGAGCATAATCAAAGTAGATACTTGGCTTTAACAATCATTTTACAAACATAATTTGATATATATGATCTTTAGAATTGAAATAAATACCCTGTAAAATCATATAAAATATATATAATCATATAGTATATTATACATAATCATATAATATATATATATCTATACCTTATATGTTTTAATATATCATATGAAGCAGGCGCTCAAAATCTTCATACCCTAGCTATTCACGCAAAAGAAAAACACATTTACAGGGCATCTCTCAGTGTATCACACGCATTCAACTCGTTTCTGTTTAATTTTCTGAAATCAATCTAAAGACTAGCAACGATTTGCTACACTTTTCACATTGCGTGCACAAATTGTCCAGCACAAATTGATGAGGCCTAGAGCCAGGCGGCCATCAACCAAAAAGGGCCTTCAGTTCAGTTCCCCTTCAGCTCAGCTGCGAACAAAGCAGAGACAAAGAACAACAATAATCTCTCAGTGTAGGATTTCATCTCTTGTTCGTCTGTCCGACTGGCGATTGTCTCTGCGCTCTTGTTGCCCGGGTAATTATCATTTAGTTATGGCACTTTTTGTTTCACTGCAACTCTTAAGAATCCTCTTTAAGCTGATGCTGCTGCCGGCTGCTGGTTGCTGGTTGCTGCTGGCTGCGGAGCAACTGCGACACGCACATGATAAATGATTTTCCATTAACTGCCATTGAAAAGCAAAAGAAAATATACTAAAGGGCGTAGAGCAGCGCAGGATAAAGCCAAAAACCATAGAAAATACAATTCTCGAGCACATGCTGTGCGTGTGTGTGTGTGGCATGTGTAAGAGCGTGTGTGTGTGTGTGTTGCAATGTGCTTGCATTTGTCATCCATCATCAATGAAGGCAACGGCATTCTCTCTCTCTCTCTCTTTTATCAACTGTCTGCATCAGCATTATTTGTCTTAGTTTTTCAACGATTTTTCTTATGTGGTTTTCCCATAGAGCAGGAATAAAAAATTTGTTTAACCCAATTCGAAACTAAATTTTCTTTAAAAGAAAATTAAGCCAGCGCCTCGCCCGGGTCTCGGCTTGAAGTCGATTTGGCCTTTTGTAATTTGATGCTGCACCAAATAATAATAAAAGACAAACGGCCCAGGCATGGGACAGGCGAGCGATGTTTGATTTTTTCTCTCTTCAATTTGATAGATGACCATAAAATATTAATGTGTCGGGCATAAATGTGACTGCATGTGAGTAGTGTGTGTGTGTGTGACTGTGTGTGTTGATGTTGTTGTTTGATTTCCTCTTTTGATTTGACTTTGACGTCAAGGTCTTGCTGTTTAGCGTCAGCCACTAAATGGAGCAGTTTTTGGGGCAATATCGAATGTAGTTAGTAGATAGAAGGTAAAAGACAAAAGTTAAAAGACAAAAGTTAAGAATCAAACGATAGACGATAGACGATAGGCTATAGACGAGAGAAGAGAGACGATAGGCGATAGACTATAGACGATAGACGATAGACGATAGACGATAGACGATACACGATAGACAATAGACGATAGACGATACACGATAGACGATAGACGATACACGATAGACGATAGACGATAGACGATAGACGATAGACGATAGATGATAGACAATAGACGATAAACGATAGAATATAGAAGATAAAAGATAAAATATAAAATATAAAAGATAGAGGTTAGAAGATAGAAGATGAGAGATGGGAGATGGGGCATGTTGGATGGGAGATTGGAGATTGGAGATAGGAAACGAGTCTTAAAAAAGTTTATATATAATCAATATCATTTAGCTCTTAATTTCTCTTGAGAATATGTTTCTTAAATCTTTTGACTTATAATTTGAATCTTTCTGTTTGAATCTCTCTTTTATATTTGAAGTTTTCTCATACATTTTTAAACCACTTTAAGCTTCTTCAGAGCTTAATGGCAAATTCATTTCTAAAACACGATTCCAAGCCTCAATTATTTCCATTTATTCAATGTTTTGAGCATGCTCGGTACAAAAATAAAACATAATCAATCAATCGTATCAATCAATCACAATTTCTACAGCCACCTTCAACTCAGCCACCTTTAAACTTAAATTCGAGGCAGAAATAGAAACTTTCTTAAGACTGATTACGTTTTTCTTTAAACACTTGAATGCCTGAGCGTTAAACGTTGTCTGCGCACATTTTAGCATAATACCCTATATACAGCGTACGCAATGTTGCGCTTTGTATAATCAACTCATTATCATTAAGCGACCGACAGTTGGGCCCGTTCTGGCTATTAGACATGCAAATGGCCAAGGCGAAGCGCCCAAATGTAGACTAGCAAAAGAGCGCCGACGTGCTGTGGCGCTGGAGTTGGGGCCAACTGATGACTCATCTGCACGCTGAGCAATTCAATCCAATTTACAGCAATCTGCCATAACTTGAACGCTTAACGACGATTCCAAAGATTTACGGCGAACAACTTTTCACAGATGAAAACATATGAAGAAGGGAAGGCGCAGCAGTTGAAGGCTTGGAAACGGTTGACAAGTCTGGTAAAAATAAGATGCTGCGTAATATTTCTCACTTGCTGGCCAAGGCAACCAAAAAAAAATAAGTAAAGAAAAAAGTGAACAAGAAGCAGCAGAAGAATAATCATAACAAAAATATTTTTCGACTGCAACAGACACAGAGGAGCGAGAGAGAGTCTATGAGAGCGAGTAAATAACTGCAGAGTGAGTCAGACAGACGGCGACAAAAGACGTCGTCGCCCTGGCTCTTTGGCCCAGACGTTCGCACTTTTTGGCCATGGCCAATGGCATCATAAAAACTCCACAGCTCTGACTGCTAAAAGCCAAGCCATACCCACTCGAGCGTCGTGTTGTTTTTGTCTCAAACAGACGCCGCTTCGGCGGCAACCAAACACGTTGCACGGCGCACGCACTTGCCACAAATTAGATGAAGCACAATACCAACTGCAGAGCTGTGTGTGTGTCTCGTCTGTTGTTTGACCTTTTTAGCGCTGTTAATTTGCAACGTTCATCAATTTGAGAGAGAGACAGAGAGAGAGAGAGAGAGAGAGAGAAGCGTGGCAATAGCAGCCTCTGTGCTTGCATACTTCTAGGCGTTCATAGGCCTCTTACCTCTTGCCAAGCCAAGTTCACTGAACCCCTTTTTTTGCGAGACAAAAACAATCGACATTTGTTATTTATGTGTGTGCTGCTGTGTGTGTGAGTAGCTTGTTTGTTTGTCTCTCGAGTGGCTCGCAGCTTTTTCTGTGGCGTCTATTGTTTCGACGATATTAATGCAAAGTTTAGTTCCCATTTGGCTCGACTCAGCCCAGCCTAATGCTGCCTGAGTGGTCGCAAATATATGAAATTTCCCTGCTATTTACCTACTGACTTCTCCACAACACTTATCTATACGAGTTTCTCTCTGTTGTCTGCTTTTTTGCTGCCTTGCAAACTTATCTCAATAAATGGTTTTTCTATCTTTTTGTCGCCCACAGAGCAGCGTACTCAATGCCACATTACATATACTAACTTTAACTTATCTTTTCTTTTTGCTTCTCTCTGCTTACAGGGCCGTCACAGATCCACGCGATGGCCGTCGCGTCGCACTGAAAAAGTTGCCGAATGTGTTCCAATCTTTGGTCTCATCCAAGCGTGTGTTTCGTGAGCTTAAAATGCTTTGCTTTTTCAAGCATGAAAACGTAAGTACTTGAACAACTTTATATATGCAAAAACAATGTGTATATATATATATATATAGATATTAAAATCCATTGTGAAATTACAAAGGGGAAGTAACAAAAAACTGCCTTGCATTTAATTACGCTGCGCGTTTATGACACGAAATTTAATTAAAAAAAGGCAATTCGATTATTTGTGCTGCGACTGCCACTATGCGCACACAATGCAAATATTTTCTGTATATTCCGTATTTTTGCGCCCACTCTGTGGAGCATTGCGTATACGCAGTGGCTGCCTGCGGGTTATTAATAACCTGTAATGTCAAAGAGCAGGCGGTGGCTGCCTGTAAAAGCAGCGGGCCAAAACCATTTGCTGCTCTGACGTTTTTTCACAGGGTATATTTTAGTTGTGCTTGACTTGTGCTCACTTGTTATGTGCACATTTATTAACAATTATATTATTTTTTGCCAGTGAAGCCTTCGCTGTCGAGAAATTCGTTTTAACTGCCTTTCGAGTTGAACTTCAACTCAAAAATTGAAGTTATTATGGTTGGCGTTGTCGGTTGTTGTTGTTGTTTGACTGTCAGGCAAGTGCCGTTTATTGGCTGTGTAATTATTGGCATTAATTAAACGATTCAGATGAGCAGCAATGATATAACTATGAAAAGCCGATTAATAAGACAGATATTTGACAAGCAAATATGAAGAGAGATATTTTATTTCAATATATTACTGAGAATTTACATTAAACAAATACATAATAATAAAGATTAATAATCAGTTTAAAATGCAAGAGATCAACTATTCATCGTATTGTCTTTCAGACTCTTCTCTCCTAACATGTCCTTTTTTCTTACATGTTGTGCTGCGTCAAGCGCTTCTCTTCCATATTGTGCCAGTTCAGACTCTTCTCTTACACCATGTCGTATTTCAGACTTTTCTCTTAAATTCCTCTTTAAAGCTCCTCATTTCTAGTCACGAGCCCAGGCAACCATCTCGCTCTCACTCACAAACAGCCGAGACTAAGTTCGGCAGCAACTAGCTTTGTCTCTCTCTCGCCCACTCAAAGTGAGCTATAGACGAGCAGCAAACGCAAACAGATGACCATGTTCTTAGGCACTCACTAATATTAATGCAATCAAGACTAGGATTGAACAGAATTAGTAACTCTAAACGGATTTCGCTCTTAAATTCTTAATATCATAGCATTACGATGCATATAAAGTAAACATTCATACTTCAATCAAGAACTTTATATATGATATCGAAGCAGTTCTTCAAGTTCATTCAAGTCGTCATATTTCATGTTTCACAAGTTTTCTGAATATACAAATTCGATTTCCATCTATATGCTATTGTTTGTCAGGCAGTTATAAATCAATCATTTAGCATGGCATTAATTAACTCATTCATATTCATTGCAGCTGCTGCTGCACAAATAGCCAACAACAAATTGAATATTTATACACATATTGTTAAGTAACGCCCACAATCAGGGCACGCCCACTTCACTCACTGCTGCCAGTTTGCCAGTTGCCTGTTGCCACAAAAGGCTGTCGGGCCCAAAAAATTTATGACAAACAAATTTTATGCACAACAAATTGTAAAGAAAAGCAAAAAATAAAAATAAAATAAAAGTTGAGACTACAAAGCTGCACAACATTTTGTTGCATGCAAATTTGTTAACATGGCCGAGAGAGAGGGCGAGAGTGAGGCAACCAGACAGCATGCCACACAAAGCCAAATGGCAGCAAAACGTAAAAGAATTATTGTTATTCATATTACATTTAGAATTATTAATAAAAAATATTACACTAGAAGAGAGACGGGGCAAGGGGCACGTTGAGAGCCCGACAGCTGCATTGTGCTGCGATTTTATGGCCAATTTTATGTGACTTTGCGGCGATTTGCCTTAATTTATTTATCTGAATATTTCAGTTCACTTGTGTCTGGAGCACGTGCACTGACCAAGCGATCTCTGATGCTGTCATTTGCATACACTTTTTGCTAAGAGAGAACTATAAAGTTTTGACACGAAATGTGTTACGCTTGACAGATATGCTTGACTAGATAAGGTATATATGTATATATTGATAATATATATATATTGATAAGTTCATATTGAGTTGATTCTGATTTGGTTTAGCTTTAAAGCTGTCAGCATGAAATTTTTAATATCTTTATCCAAGTTTTCTAGCAACATATGTCTGCTTGAAAATGAATAGATTAGATTATAAAGAAGAAGTTTATGATAAATTAGAATAAGAATTAGATTCTTGACAATCTTAATTTAATACAAAGCTTCTACAGTTTATAAAGTTTCCACAGCTAAAGCCAGCATCAACTCCTTAGCTACTCAAGGCAAGCAATTTATGAAGAAGACTTATCAACCTGAAAGTGTATATATTATTATAGATACTTTCAAGGTATTCATTCAGTTCAGTTTCATAATTCAATCAACTTTGACTGACATTTGCCATGGCTAAAATGTCAAATTGAAGTTTGTCTAGACTCAACTTCAACTTCCTTTCAGACGAAACTCATTTGCCACACATGATCGTAGCCTTGGCTGCAAATGTCAACTAACACTCTGAGCGTTTTCCAACACTGGGCGGCTCCATTAGGCGCAAATAAATTGCGCGTGGGTGCAGAGCGAGGCAAAGTTTATTATTATTAATTTATTATTATTAATTTGTCCAGAAGTGATGCAACGCCAATCGAGGCAGAGTTGCCCTAATGAGGCACGCTCTGCCCACACATGTCAACACCTGGCAACACCTATGCAAATGTTGTATTAATATGCAAAGTGCTTTATGAAAAAGAAGCAAAGAAGAAGAAAGCTATGAAAGAGGCGCGTCTCGTGTTGTTGTTGTTGTCTATTGTTGGTTTCCTGTTGCAATTCCATATTCATTTCCTACATGCAACGTTGCGACGCATCGCATAGCTAAGCAAGTGCAATCAACCTGAAGCTCGAGACGTTATATTCAATAGCTGAGCACAGCTGGCTGTGAGGCCGTCTGTTAAAGCCATCTGAGATGTGGGCTCAATAAATGCAGATTGTTGTTGAGACTTATATTTGCATATGGCATTAGATGTGGCTTAAACTGGAGCTAAACTAAAATCTAACAGCAATTTGTGACTCGAACTTGTGCCTTTTATTTTATTGGCTTCTAAGTTGTCAGCCTTGATTTAACTTAAGTTAATCAATATGAAATACTTGTCAAAGCTAATTCTGGCTTCACTTAGAATTCCCAAAGAGTTTTAGCTTGAAATCTGCTATATAATTTCACAATTAATGAAAATTCATTTAGAGTTATTAAAGCTATGCTGAGCTTAGTTTGTGCCACAATTTGTTGTACTTTTAATGGTTTTCCTTTATAGATATTTCTGCATTTGCGCTTTTCGTTGTTCTATAGAAGTTGCTTCGTTTCCTTGGCTGTGTAAGTCCTGGCAGACAGTTCTGTTTGCTTCCTGTCAATTGCCAACTCTGGCAACACACACAGCAACAGCTCTTTGAGTGACAGCGCAGGCACTGGCAATCGTCTCAATTGCTTTGGCATTATATGGCGCAGAATACCAAATGTGTGTGTGTGTGTGTGTGTGTTTGCGTTATGTGTGTGTGTGTGCGGCATACATTTGAACAAATCGCTGCAAAATGTTTGCCCCATTATGCACTGTTGCTGTTGCTGCTTATTTCAATTGCGATTTTCAATAAAAGATTTTGCAACGTACGTGGCGCAAATTTCAAAAGCATTTCTCACATGCAGCAGCCAAAGCCGACGACGACGATGAAGTGTGTGTGTGTGTGCCACGCCCCTCGCGCCCCTTGCAGCTGCTCTAAATGATTGAGTTTGTTTTCCTCAAGTTTTTGATGCCTGGCATCAATTGCATGCAAATTTTTTGTTGCTATCATTTCGAGGCGCTACACAAATTGCAATTGAAATGTCAATTTCATTTCCAACAATTCAAGTTGCCAGATAATTTTATATATATATATATATATATGTATATATATATATGTATATAGAGTATTCAGAATCCCACGCTAGCTCTTTTTAGCTGGAAAGCTTCAGAGCAGATTCAACCTAGTTCAAAAACATTTGCTCATTTGCCCAAGGTTGAAACAAGCTCAAACAGCAGCTGATAAAATTGTTTTACAAAAATCTGTGGCGTTTTAATTAGTCGACAACAACAATAACAACAACTGGAAATGTTGTCAGCAGCTGCTGCAGCAATTATTTAGCTAGAATTTTAGCTTGGAATGAAAATGTCGCTAGGAAAAAACACTTTTGCTTTTGTTTAGAGACGCGACTTGAAAAAAATTCACTTGAAATCGTTTAAAAAGGGGCCAAACGAGAAGCAGAAGTGGCAGAAGAAGAAGAAGAAGAAGAGATGCTCTTCTTGATTATGTTAGCTTTAACATACTTCAAGTCTCTCTTTTTTTTCTACTTCTCCATTTCGCTTTGTCTCTGTTTGAAATGTGCTGCCACAGCTGTTGCCACTTGCAACTTGCAACTTGCAAAGTTGTTGTCTAAGTTGTTTGCACAGCTCGTTAAATGTTGTTGTTGTTGCTGCTGCTGCTGCTATTTGTGTTTATTATTATTACACGCCTAGTTTAGCTTTAGAGCAACTGTTTGCCCTCTGTACGAACTGAAGCTGCATCGAGAGTGCTTCAAAGAGGATATAATGTTATTTAAGATCGCCTTTAAATTAAGTCTTCAGCTAGAGAGCGTTATTTTGTAAATAAATCAGAAACAAATAGTTTCATTTTAGCTTTGGAAATTTAAAGTAAAGGCAGAACGGACTTAATGGAGCACGTTTTGAGATGCAAAACTATTCAGTTTTATAAATGTAAAGCAATTTGATTTGTGCATCACTTTGACTAACTGAATATTTGCTCTAATTTCTGTTCAATTAACTTGAAACTACTTAAGTACTTATAAAGTTAGTAAAACTGAAAGTTTTTATGAAAATAAATAAGATTAAAAACGTTAAGCTGTTAAAAATGAGCAAGAATTTAAAAAGTATTTCAAAATATATATAAATGTTGTCTGTAGAATGAATCTATAGCAAAAATATTAACAGAAAATGAGCCCAAACTCAAAAATCCTATCAATTTGTCCCACTTATGGCAGTTCCAAGCAAATTCAAATTCTACATAAGAATTTTGATAAAAATGTAACAAAATTCACAATAAATTTGTCTAAAATTAGAATATAAAATTAATCTTAAATATGAAAACAAAATTAAATTTAAAATTTAATCAAAAAAAGCTTAAAACAAGAATCCCTAAGCCAGCAAAAAACTTTGAGTACTTCCAACAACAACTTGCTGTCAGGCATCTGCTAGTCGTGCATACCCAGCACACTTATTCGCTCCTTTATGATTGTTCTCTTTAGATTTTGGCATCTCTGGCCCAGCGCTGCTGCGCCTCAAGGACAGAAGCGAGAAGCGAGACTAAGACACAAAAATGACGGCCAATATGAGCTGCATAAATTTGGTTGCTGATTGCCACAGCGCAGATGTTAATTAGCTGCAACGCGGCGCTGCACGTGTGAGGGCAAGAGTGCAGTGTCGGTAGGTAGTAGCTGCATGCAACAAAAACATTCAGCTTGCAACAAATTATGTGCGCATCGAGCGGAAGGCGACTAAAGCAAAGCGCTCAGGGCTGCCATTGTGCACTGCCCAAAAAAGGGGGCTAACTGCAGTTAGAGTGGCAAGTTTTTTGTATAAGAGTGTAGAGCTGAGATTTGTGATATATATGCATATATATAAATATATATCAGCATTAAAGGTAGTCCCTCTATAACACTGTCTTAAATTTCTGCAACAATTTGGAGTAAATTTGTAAGTCAAAGTTTTTATGCTTCGTTTTGTGGCAGCTACCTTTATGTTTAGCCCTAAGCTGTTCTTTTGCTGCTGCTGCTGCTGCTTGTGAAACCGCAAGCGCAACAAATGCAGTTTATAAGTTGCAAGCAGCGCGAGAAATATTACAAGCGAACTTAAGCGAGCCAAAAACAAAGCCAAAGTCCAAGACGACGACGCAGCGAAACCCTCGAAAGACCCAGACCCAGTGGCAGCGGCAGCTTCAGCTTTCGTAAATGAACACAACAACAACAAGGCTAAAAATTGTTGCCACTTAAAAAAAAAAGCACGTCGAAGTCGACGGCTTAGCAACGCGGCGGCACTTTTTGTGCTCTGCTGTGTTGCGTTGTGTGTTTGTTGAAGCACTTTGCAACAATTTTTGTGGCCAACAGACAGATCCAGGCAGCTGGGGAAGAGAGCTCAACAGCAGCAACAATGTGTGTGAGTTGTGCAACAAATATGTGCACACATATGGATTGTTTTTGCGCTTGTTGTTGTTGTTGTTGTTGCCACACGCAACAATTCGCATTTTGGTTGTTTTTTTTTTTGGGCATTTTCTTGAAATGCGAGCGATTTGAGCTGCTTGAATGATATTGAAAATTGATTTTCAAGCTTTGTTTCAGCCACGCATGTGTCGCACACACACACACACACACATGGCATTGTTGCAACACATGCAAGCTCTGCCTGCCACAGCCTGTTAGATTGCCATTTGGGTTTTGTGGCAAGTTCCTTCATCATTTTGACCGCAAGCAAAATAAATCAGCGCTTGTCTGCAGCTCAGGCTTGCAGACAAAGGTAGAGCTCCAGCTCAGGGCTTTGGCTCTGTCGACGCTTGTCCAACTCGGTTGCTGTTGCTCTTCGTTGTGCTGCTGTCCATCAAGTTCTTGCCGGTACGTCCCGTTTTTTATTTATTATTTTCTGCTGGTTTGGCTCTTTTTTTTATAGAGTCGTTGCCTTTGCTGCAGACAGACGAACAGACAGACAGAACTCCCCGAAGCGACTGCCACAGACAGTGGCGTGTCTTGTATCTGCCGCTAAACATCATCAACGGGTCAGCGTTGTTGCAAGTTGCTGCTGCTGCAGCTGAACTTTGTGGCATTTTAGTGCCTGGCAGCGACACTTAACATGCAACTAAATGGCGCATTTGATGCGCTGCTAGCTGCGAGCTTTTGATTTTTATTTATATTTTATTGGAGTGCATAATTTATGATCTTAACCACAAGATCCAGCCAGGCAGCCGCTCGAATGGGCGTCATTGCGCCTTCGTTGTTGTAGGTGTAATGCTGCAGCATTGTTTTAAGATTTATGTGGCTAATGCCACAACCAATAAACACACTCGTCTATATTAACAACATTGTGTTGCATGCGTGTCGAGATTTATTAACGAAACACACCTATAACATTTCTCCTCTCTCTTTCCGTTTCTCTTTGCAGGTGCTGTCAGCTTTGGACATTTTACAGCCACCACATTTGGACTTCTTTCAGGAAATGTATCCTTTTTACAACAACACAAACTATAAACCGCATTGTTGCACTTAAAATTAAGTCATTTTTAATGGTTTTAAATTGCCTTTCATAGTAATTGCAAATTGAATTGAATTTGGTTTTAGGCAGACTTCAGCTAAGTGTTTGAGCTGAGAGAACTTTGAGCTGTAGCTCGGAGTTTGGGGCATAATTTAGTAGCATGTGAGGAGGAGTGTGTGAAGAGTGGTATATGACGGGGAGTATATAAAGAGGAGTAGATAAAGAGTAGTATATACAGAGGAGTATATGAAGAGGAATATATGAAAGGGAGTATATAAAAAGGAGTATATGAAGAGTAGTGTATACACAAGAGTATATGAAGAGGAGTATATGAAAGGAAGTATATGAAGACTAGGGTATAAAGAGACATGAATGAAAAGTAGTATATGAAGAGGAGTAGATCAAGAGTAGTATATACAGAGGAGTAGATCAAGAGTAGTATATACACAGGAGTATATGAAGAGGAGTATATGAAAGGGAGTATATGAAGAGTGGTGTATAAAGAGTAGTGTATAAAGAGACGTGTATGAAGAGCAGTATATAAAGAGGAGTAGATAAAGAGTAAAGTATACAGAGGAATATATGAAGAGGAGTATCTGAAGAGTAGTATATAAAAAGTAGTGTATGGAGAGTAGCATATGAAAGAGAAGAGTGAATTGAATTATTGAAAAATGAACTCAGTTTGAGTTAGACTTGAGTAAAATGAGACAAATCGTTGAGTGTAGTTGAAAGCTCGAGAATTATAGGCAGAGAATTCAATGAAAGTGCTTCAAATGTAGCATACGAATTGAGCAGATGAATAGCTAAAGCTAAAAATCATAGACAAGACATACAAAGTATGTAATAGCAGCTGAAAAATAGGCAAATGTTTTACAAAATGAAGAGGAGCAAAGATTGATTACAAGAAAAACTGCCAAAGAGCAAAGCAATCTAAGCTGAATCGAAGCTAGCAGCATGCTTAAGCCGACTTATATGCATGCCAAGCTATGTAGCTACCATTGTAGGTAGTTAAAATGTTAAGGAATCTGAGAGCCACACGTGAGTTGAGTAGCAAATGAGCTGATGCTCAATCTAAGAGCCAAGCAGAGACAATCAGAGAAGCAGCCAATAAATTGTATAGAAGCTGCGAAGTAGTACGAAATGGATTGCTAAATCATAGACATGCAACTCAGTTAAAGGAAGCTGTTAAAGTGTGCAATAAACTAAGCTGAGCTTGGGGTAGCTGTTTGAAGGCTAGAGATGCCTTAGAGAGGCTCAACTAGACTATGCCAGAAGAGGCTATTGCATTGATATATACTTAAATATACTTAAAGCAAGTCTGGTTTGTTATTAGCTAAGCAAGTGCTAACAAAGCTAATTGCTAACTGTAATAAGTTGGCCAACAGCAAAGATTGTCTTAGCCATTTGTGTAAAGAAACAAGTTGAAATAGTAATCAAGCAGAGGATTTAGCTATGAGCAGATTTGACATATTTGCAAAGTAAACACACCTATACACACACACCCACACACACTCTCTCGCCCACCTAAGTAACTTAACAATTTGGCAAATCCAAAAAGCTTCAAAAACCGCATCCTTTGGGGTCACAGATTTTCGTTTCGTTTTTTTTTTTTTGTTTTTGATTTGGGCCAACGTGAATATCTATTTTCAGCGCGTAAAAGTTGTGGGCAGAGCCGAAGCGTGCAACTACTTAATTGAAAAAGTTTAAAGCTAACAAACAAGTCCCAAAACTTTTCGAAACTGGGCTAAAAGGGGGGGCGACAAGCAACACTCGGCAGGCACATGGCGCATGGCATGTGGCACTTGGTTATTTCCTTAACGCGCTCCCTAACTCTAGCTATGTGATAACTGAACTGCTGCAATCGGATCTGCACAAGATCATCGTGTCGCCACAGCATCTATCGGCGGACCACATCAAAGTGTTCCTCTATCAGATACTGCGCGGACTCAAGTATTTGCACTCGGCCAGGATACTGCATCGCGATATCAAGCCGGGCAATCTGTTGGTCAACTCGAATTGTGTGCTCAAGATATGCGACTTCGGGCTGGCACGCGTCGAGGAGCCCGACCAGGCCAAGCACATGACCCAGGAGGTGGTCACACAGTACTATCGAGCACCCGAAATACTCATGGGCGCTCGTCACTACTCGTCGGCCGTGGACGTCTGGTCGGTGGGCTGCATCTTTGGCGAGCTGCTGGGCCGGCGCATACTGTTCCAGGCGCAGAATCCGGTGCAGCAGTTGGAGCTGATTACCGAGCTGCTGGGCACGCCCACCATGGAGGATATGCGTCATGCGTGCGAGGGCGCACGCACACACATGCTGAGGCGGGCGCCCAAGCCGCCGTCGTTCTCGGTGCTCTACACGCTCAGCTCACATGCCACGCACGAGGCGGTGCATCTGCTCTGCCAGATGCTAGTCTTTGATCCGGTAAGACAGACTGGCTTAAGCGACACTCATTCCTTTTCCTCTGCAACAACTATAACACTCGCCACTCTCTGCTCTTCCCGCTCCTTAGGACAAGCGCATTTCGGTGACAGATGCTCTGGCGCATCCGTATCTGGATGAGGGTCGTCTGCGCTATCATTCGTGCATGTGCAAATGCTGTTTCACTACCTCAGCTGGAATGCGTCAGTATACGGCGGACTTTGAGCCCTCCGCCGGGCAGCCCTTCGATGATTTATGGGAGCGCAAGCTCACCTCCGTGCAGCAGGTGAAGGGTAAGTCGCGCAAACTGAACGCAAAGTTGGCGGAACTTTTTATAAATGAAGAAATTTCCAACTCGTGTTTTTGCAGAGGAAATGCACAAATTCATTGCCGAGCAGCTGCAGACGGGCCGTGTGCCGCTCTGCATTAATCCGCAGAGTGCGGCCTTCAAGAGCTTTGCCAGGTGAGTTGCACCACAGCCATACAACACGCTGCACGTTGCGTACAATTCCCCACCCACTCGTCCCACTCTTTCAAAACTATCTCTCTCTCTCTCTCCTTCTCTCTATCTGTCTCTCTCTAACTTTTTGTTGTTGTTCCAAAAAAAAATGAATTCGTAATTTGCTTTTCAGTTGATAAGTAAAATTCTCTCTCTTTCGCGCACATTGTTGTCTCTCTCTCTCTCTCTATCTGTCTTTCTTTTTCTAAAAGAAAACGTTCTCTTTGTTTAACTTTGTCAAATGCTTTAAGTCCACAATCGTCTCTCTCTCTCTCTCTCTCTCTAACTCCCTCTCTCTCTCTCTTTATCTATCTTTATATATAATATAATATATATTTTAAAATAATTTTATTTTTTTGTTTTCTCTCTTTTTTTCTATCGTTTATATACATATATCGATATCGATATACATTAATATTGAATAAATTCTATCAAATTTAATTTATATATTTGCGTTGTTAAGCCAATGAGAATGAGAATATCTACTACTACTACCACTACTACCACAACTTGCACTGCTGCTCCTGTCGCTGCCGCTGCTGCTGCCGCTGCTGCTGCTGCCGCCGCTGCCGCCGCCGCCGCTGCACAGGCCAAATACCAAGACAAAGACCAAGTATATATACTAGGCGCGTACCGATATACCAATATTAACCAATCAAGTCAAGAAACACAGAAAACAGATCCAAGCAGAAGGTCACAAAACAGAAAAGAAAAGAAAAGAAAAGAAGAGAAGCTAGCCAAAGCCGCCAGAGAAAGAAAGAAAGAAAGAAAGCAAAATACAGATAAAGATAAATCAAGCAAGATCAAGAAAGCGGGCGAGAAAGCGAGCGAAAGATATGCCAAGAATCGCATTTCATCGATATATATCGCATATCGATATCGATATCGATACGACACTATTGTGGGTGCCTCGGCAGCAGCAACTCTTGAATCTTTTAGGTCTGTTGATCAAGCAACTACATTTATTGCTCTAATACATTTGCTAAAAAAAAAAACAAAAAAAAAATATCATTTATAATTTTTTTTCTATAATTTATATAAATATGATTTAATACCTATGTTCACCATATATATATATATGTATATTCTCCTCTTTCTTTTTTATATAATACATATCTTCTTCTTTTTTCTGTTTGTTAAATGCAAATGTGTATAAAAACCTCTTATAATACTCTTAAGTTGTGCAATATGACTTAACTCATTATAATTTCTTTTGTTTCCTTACATTTATTATTAAATGGGTTATTTGTGTACATAAATGTTATTTACCACGAAAGAAAAAAAATACCAACAATCAAAAAATACCAAAACTGGCAAATTTCTAACTCTCTTCAAATGTCAAATACAAAAATTGGTCGGCAAAAAAAAAAAAACCAAATTGAAACAAAATTTACCAAAAACAAAAAAGTGGAATTGGCTCAAAAGAAATCAAAATTTTTGAATACTAAAAAAATACAAGAAAAATACGCACCACTTTTCATAGACATTTCGAGCAAAGTACCCTGCAAAGCATTAAATGTAATCTTAAACCCACATATATAATATATATTCATATATCTCTCTACCCATAGCCAATTTATGTTCACCTTTCTGCAACTCATATACCATATAAACCATATATATATATAAATATATATATTCGCATAAATATATATCAAATTCTTAATCAATTTTAAATCATAAAATGTGCACACATTCACACCCACACACATATACACAGAGACACGCCCATTATAAAATAAATGTAAATTTTCATTTTTTCTCTTTAAAAAGAACTAGAATATTCTTGCAGTTATAACTTGAATAGAACCTTATACAACATATATAAGTTCCTAGAGAAAACTCTTTTAAGTAACAGCAAATGTTTCTTTTTCGTATTTCCCAAGTCTCTTCTCATTTTCTTCTTTTTATAACTATCAGAACTAGGCTTTTTATGAAGCTTTTCAGCTGAAACTTGTTACAGCTACTTTATATAACTTTAAAATGAAAACAGTTATAGAAGCGAAATCTTTTCTCTCTACATACTCTTTATAACTATCTGAACTCAGCTTTCTGTGAAGTTTTTTAACCGAAACTTTGTACAGTTGCTTTTTATATCTTCTCAATAACAACTGTTATATAAGCCAAGTCCTTTCTCTCTACCTTCGGTTTATAACTATGTGAACTCAGCTTTGAGTGAAGCTTTTCAGCTGAAACTTTGTACGGCTGCTTCCCAGCCTTATAGCAGGCATATGCTCTAGGATCATTCAAATTACTATGTCATATAGCTGCCATAGATATATTGTCAGATTTTCATACCTAAATACTAACTTTTAGTTAAAAGTCTACATGATTTAGCTTAAAAAACTAACTGTAACTTTGACATACGTTAAATCATAATTAATTTGATAATATTAAATTATATTTAACTGCAAGAGTTTTCCAGATTCGGCCTGCCTAAACTATCTTTTCCTTTCCTTACTTTCTGTAACCGAATCATCAGCAATTAGCCATTAGCCATATGACAGACTACTACATCACAGCCCATACTAGACCCGAACCCGCCACCGCCCCCGCCCCTCTGTACCATGAATTTGGCCAAGAAAACATTTGCAACTACATTTAATACACTGCCAGCAACAACAAACAGCAAAATGCATATTGAAAAATTAGAAATATATATATATACATATATGCCATATATGTCTATATATGTATATGTATGTATCAGTGCAGTTGAGCAGCAGTGACAATGGTCAAAACAAAAGTAGACTAATACCGCTTGAACAACTTTCACTTCAAGTCTTCAAAAAAATAATAATAAAATAATGAACATTAAATTCTATAAATATATTATATTAATAATTAATTATTAATTATTTATTTTACTTAATTTAATTTTATTTTCTTTTGTTTTGTTTGTTGTAACTCGAAATCTATTTAAATGTAGTTTCTATTATATGTTTTTCCTTCATTTACTTCATTTATTTATAATTAATAGTTTTTTGCTTTCTGTTGTTTTTTGTGCTTCTGCTGCGGGCTTAACTCTGGCTTTAATATTTTATTATATTTTATGTATTTATTTTTTGTGTTGTATTCATTAGTTTTTAGTAGTTTGTTGCATGTGCTCTGCGCTCTATCTAAATGTATTTCAACGACGACGACTTTGCCCAATTAGACTTGACTAATTTTGGTTTATTTTCTATAATTTTTTACCCCATAAAAATTAGCTCAACTGTGGCACATCCTTCGGAGCTGCCGCCTTCGCCACATCAATGGGAATGACGGCAAAATGAGGCGATTGCTGCCTAAAATATCAAAAGCAACACTCAGCAAACAACAACAACAACAACTTGAACAACAATAGCCTAGATTTATATATGAATATATATATTTCTGGCTAGATCACATATGGACAAGGAGCAAGCGAGTTGCAGCTCCGCAACAGGCCCGCTTCGGGATAACAACGATTAAATTTTAAAGCGCCAACAACAGTTTTGCTCAGCGCTGTCTGTTTAAACGTTAAAGCATTCCACCACCGAAACTAAAACAACAAACAAACAAACAACAAACAAAATGTAACGTAACTCAACTGAAACTAGTCTAAAAAACAAGCAGAGTAAAAGTAAAGTAAAGCAAACAACAAATGAAATTGTTTGCGGCACAAACAAAGAACACAACAAATTCGAGAAAACAAACAAAATTATTATAAACAAAACAAAGAAAAACACAAATATAAGCAACATATTACAGCAATTTGTTGCGCTTGACAAAATTGGTAGACAAAAGAACGACGAAAAAACTAAAAAATTCAATATAAAAAAACATAAATTTTTGGGTCTTATAAAAGAAATTGCAAAATGTTTTTTATTTTAAGCGCTTTAAAAACAAAAACACAAAATAAATGTAAATTAAATTAGCAATTAGTGCAAAACACAAAAGATATATATATATATATATACTAAAAATTAAATATATTACACACACATACAAGAAATTTGTTTGCCAAATTTACCTCACACACACACACTTTGTTTATTTTTTTCTGTGTATAACTAGATAAAACTATAGAACTCTCTCTATATATATATATATGTATATGTGTAGCAGCTAAAACAAATGAATGAAACATTAATATTTTCTAAAACTAATTAAAAAACACACAATTTATTTTCATATATTTGCGCTTCAATTTTGAAACTGGTTTCTAACTATATGTAGTAAAAATCTCTATAGAGAAAGCTCTTAGAAGACACACATATATATAAATATATCTATATATATAAATATATATATGTGTGAAACTCTGCACATATATATATATATACATATATTGAATGTGTGTTTGTATATGTATAACTGTATCTGTGTATCACATATATATATATATATATATACATATATGTTTATGTAGCGAAAATACGAAAAACTTTCGAAACACATTGAAATATTTTTAACCGTGGACTGATTAAACTGCATAAATCGCAAACAATTATGCAATTAAACAATTAAACAAATTTAAGTTGTATTAATCTAATGCCTAATGCCTAGTTTATGACAATTTACGCCCATGTATTCACATTAGTTGTTAGACTTAAATTTTACACTTAATTTTTGTACTACTTTTATTCAAATTGTTTTGCCTTTTGCTTGTGGCAAGCTCGTTTAGTTCGCACTCAGACACGTTGCAACGTTAGCAGAAGCAAAACCAACAAGTGGACGACACACTGCCCCCCAGTGAATGCGCACAGGCGTTTCGCGCACAGTCAGCACTCGCTAAAGTGCACTCGCGCTGCCTTGCTCGCTGTCTGCCGAACGCCTGGCCATTTCAAAGTTAGTTCTTAAATCCTAATTAGTTTAACTCTAATATAGTTTAATTGAACCCCAACCCCAACCCCCCCTGACCGCCCACAACATCTTCAAGCAGCAGCTCCATGCTATAGCAGCTCTAGTTCCACCCAACTCTGATATATGTATATGTTTAAGACTGAGTTCTTTCATTTCCTTGCAAAAGAGATGGTTGACAAGCGCGCCAATATGCAATAAACATAGAAAAGAAAAGAAAGTCAGGAAAATTGAAAAAAAAACGTAGCGAAAATCCATTTTTAATGCTTGAATTATGTATTTAAATGTAGCAAACTATATGAAAAAAAAACAAAAGTAATATGAATATATATATATGTATATGTATTCATTATATGTATGTGAATTTGTATTCGTAATTTTTAAAGTCTTTTCGACATAAATCGTAAAGTTTCTCGAAATTTGTAGGCGCTCAACTAGAAGCCAATTTCTATATCGTAAACAAAAACCAATTTCTTCGACTCTAAACTGTGCTGCTTTCTTATGTATGTAGTTTTTAATTATGTATATATATATACACATATATACCCATATATATACATATATATAACTAATTTAGCGTACGCTTAAAGACGATATAAAATGAAGGAAACGAAATATGAATTCAAACTTTCACGGAGATCTCATAGCAAAAGAAAACAAAAAGGAAAACGAAACGAAAAACTTGATGAAAAGCGAAAATCGGAAAGTCGTTTGCAGTAACTGTAGAACCATATATATATATATTTTTATCGATATATATATATATATGTTGTTCATGTAGCTTAATAACGACGATTTTTCCTGTTTTCAATTTTTCACAAAAAACTTTTGTTTATAAATAAACAGTTTTTTCTTATATCCACACACACAAACACACATCTATATATATATGGAGACAACAGTCTTTCGGTCACACACACACACATACTCGAATAAGGCACACACACACACATTTATATACTTTTAGTTTTCTTATTGTAAACGCAAACGAATGCAATGCAAAACAATTTATAAACTACTTTAGCAGCTAAGGATATTTGACAAACACACACACACACACACATGCATACACTATATATATGTATGTATGTAATTCGTTTGACTTGATGTAAGCACCGTGTACATAACATTAACACCCCACCAATACTTATACATTAATATATGTAATCCAACCTAAAGCATAAGCCGAAACTAGTTTTCATTTCTTTTAGTTCAAGAAACAACAAATATATAGAGATATATATATCTATATCTATGCATATATAACTATATAGTGAATCGTATACATGTACATTTTTTTTGCACAACCTTCACTACATATATATATATATATATAAATATAAACAATACAATAATTATGATAAACTTTGTCTATGGATTCGTGGCGCTTATGTTTCAATAAGTTTCAACAATGTCTAATTGTTAGTTAAGCTAAGTAAAAGCAGAAGCAAACTAAGAGCTGAGTATTCGACCTACATAGAAATACAATATGAATATGGATATGAATATGAATATGAATATGAATATGAATATGAATATAAATATAAATATATATGTGCTAATTATACAGTAGAGCCTACGTATGAACTACCTAATCTAATATGACGAGTTGACGTTGGCTGCCGAGAGTGAAATAAAAATCGTGTAAAACTGTTTGTATAAAAAAAGAAAAAAACCGAAGCTAACTTTTTGTTTTCTTTTTCATTTCCCATATCAATTTCCCAGTTTTTCTTTTTCCTTCACCTTTTCGTCGCCACCTGTAAAACCGAATGCATTTCCAATTAGAATTTATAGCTATAAAATATACATATATGCAATTCTCTCCACGAATATATACTATATGCGATGCATGCTATATATATAAATATGTATAGGCATGTGTGTATATATGGACAATATTTGCAGATCAACTGAAACTCCCGCTCGCTCTCTCTATAGACAACAGTTATTCAAGTATTACAGGTAAAAAATCTTCAGTTTTTGGCAAGCGAAAAACTGAATTGAAGAAGCATTTTTGAGGCAGCTTGAACGGCTGCGCATAAATTTTATAAAACAAATGCAAATTATTGGTAAAATATAACTACAATTTATAAACAAAATGAAATTTGTGCCAGAAGAAAGAGACAAATTTTTGGCAAAACAAAGAAAAAAACGTTTTCTTAACAGAAAAGAAAATTGCGCTCAGGTTATAAAAAAAGAAAGAAAACTATAAACAAGATTCGTAATTCAATGAAAACAAAAACAAAAAGAAAATATATTAACACAAATATTGCATACGAAAATACATAAATGTTTAACAAAAGGCTGTTTGTAGAAATTGTGACACAGTTTTTTAACCCCAGAACGAAACCAGAAACAAGAAACAAAAATAATAAATCAGTAACGATAAAATTCGAAAGTTTTTGATGTAAATGTGAGTAGAGAACACGCTTAATGTAGAGATCGCAAACCCCATTCGAATTCTGATTGTGAGTGTACTCGTAGTTGCTTAGCCCACTAGTGGAGCCTACTTGTAGCGGGTCCTACGTAGGATCAACCAGCGAGAAATCGTGTAAATACAAATACAAATACAAATACAATAATTATATAAAGCGTATATAACATATATCTATCTGAATATATATAGTAAACTTTGTGATTGCTTCTCATTGATGATACCAACTCGAGTAGATGTCAGATGTAAGCCGGCGTATGCATGCCTCCCTCCAATGCATGGCCACTCCCCAATGATACCAACATGTATAAAGCACTCAAAACACACACACACCCAACACGAATATTATATTGGCCACAACCCCCTACCCTTACCCCTGCCCACACCCGCTTCCCTTCCTACCAAAATTCTCAGATAAATTTGATGTAGAACACAAACCAATGTACGAGTAGTTAACAAGCCATAAACAATATATATATAAATATATATTCATTATTCGATAAATGTTGTAAAAAGAACAGGAAAATCCTATATACTCCATAAGTGTGTATGTATATGTGAAAATATATTAAACAAAAGAAAAACCGAAAATCGTAGCACATTTTGAAAAGCTAAAAATATATATGAAAAATCCATTTCAATTAGATGCTCTCACTACAATTTGCACGCGATCGATAAACTGATCGATAACTGTATATATGTAATTATAATATGTATACCTATTCACACACACACACCCAGTTTAACACTAACTAAATTGATACAACTTGTAAATTATATTCAAAGCGAGCAAAAAAAAAATACTTTTCAAGAATTACATAAAACATAAATACTTAACATTGATACCATAATACACACTAACCCCATTGTATTAACTAAACAAAACAAAATAATTAGACTTACTAATATTATAACGTAAAACTGAGAAAAAAAAACAAATCGAAAAAGAAAAACAGTAAAAAATGCTTTCAAACTAAATAAAGTTCTTTGGAATTACAATGCAAAACAAAAGATACGAAAACAAAAACAAATCACATTTTCTTTTTAATGGGAAAAAAAATCAAAACGGAAAATTCCAATATGATTTTGCGTAACTGCCAGAAAATTAGGTAGGTCAGTACAAATATATTAACATTAATGTATTATAATCTATGTGGAGTCCATTAATAGTTTACATCAATGCGAGTATATGCAGATCTATCAATAGCTATACAGCTTGCTGTAAAAAACACATTTCATTTACAAATTTTAAATTTCGAACCAACTCTATAAATGCGAACTGCTTTGCACTGCTTGCATGTGCAAACATGTAAATGTTATTAACAGCGCTAGTTAACAGCCAAATGTATTCAATGCCAGCATGTTAAGTTTAGTATCACTGCCGTACAATAGCTGGCGCCACAGAACACTGTGCTCAAGACATGAGCTTTCAGCTCTTCAAGAAAATAGAAAATTCACATTTTATGCATTCAGTTCTTGGCTTAAAAGCTCTCTTGTATTCAGTGCTTAAACTAGTTTTGTTATAATTCAAGTTTATGGCTACATATATAAAGGTATGCCCAAGTCTCTTGTACGTTGGGCGCTACAAAATTTGCTTAACACTAACTTTAGGGGCTGCACCTGCACTGCAGTACTTACAAAATATATATATGCATATATATGTTACGCTTTGCATCAGTCTTAAACAACACATGTATTAAAGGGGTTTCTTATAAAATTGTCCTCAGTGGAACCTTAACGGAAATACTAAATGATAAACTCTATAACTAGTTGTGGCTACTCCTTCTTGCCATAGTGGCTGTAGCTCTCCTCGACGAAGATCTGTATGGAGCGCTTGACGTGCTGCTTGTGTGGCTCGGGCAACTGTTCCAGCTTGGGCAGAATCTTCATGAGAAACCGAAAGTCGGGTGAGAGATTGATGTTGGTCTCAGTCTCTGGTAAGGGGGGCGGCTCCTTGATCGGCTCCATAGGCATAATGGAGACACTGGTAGGTAAACTAATGCCAGGTGATCCTTCCAGTTTGACAAAGTTTGTGGGATTTTTCTTGGGCGGCAGCGTTATGTGCGGCTTATGCAGAAGTGGAGCTGGTTTCGTTGCCAGCGGCTCCTGCTTGACCGCCGCCTGATGCTTGATCGTTGGCAGCTTGACCTTCGCCTGGGCCTGCTCCTTGCCTTGTATGCAGCTGAGTATCTCGGGCAGAAACTTTTCCAAATGCTGTGTGAGATTTGCCTGTGGCTTATCTGTGACAATCATCAACTTCTTGGCAGCCGTGTCCTTCTCCTGCTCCACGACCACAAACATTTTTCGCTTCTGCCCATTGGGCAACGTGTTGCCATTCTTCTCGTCCGACTTTTCAGTTATCAAGTAGAGTTTGCGCTTCTTCGCCAGCCCGTTGCCATTGTGAGCATGTGCATCCACCAGAGCGGACAGCGGCATGCTGGCCTCGTAGTCAGAGCTGATGGAGTGCACATCACTCGAAACGGACGAGGAGGAGCATATCGAGTGAGAGCGTTGCGGCACAGGTGTTATTGTGGTCACCGACTTCTCCTGCATTGGCTGCTTTAGTGAATTCCCACTGGAGCTCTAAGAGATCAAAGCAAATATCTTTATCGATTGGCATTTGACTTGGACTCAGAATTGCAATCATTCTACTCACATCGACCAGCTCAATTGTTGTGCTATCTGCCATCGGTTTGGCAGATGTTGCTACTGTTGTAGTTGTTGTTGTTGCTGCTGTTGTTGTTATTTTGTTTGGCTTGTTTAAACGCAACGGCGTCGTCTTGATGCGCGTCTTGGCCATTGCCTCGCCCTGGCTAAAGTGCCTCAAGCAGATGCGCAGCTTTTTCAGACCGCCAAGTTCCTGCACCAGTTGGTCGCTTACTCCGAAATGGCGTAGCCAATAGTTGCAGCTGCAGGAATTACAATTGTCGATTGTTCAGTAAATGGACAAGCTACATACAAGCGTAAGCTTTACATGTGTATACTATGTATGGATGTGTATGAGTGTGTGTGCATGTGTGTGTATTGGTTGTGCAGCACGATTCTCTAGTTAGTCGAACTGCAAGCTCAGCTTGGGTCAACAGCGCAATTTGTACACCAATTGCGAAAAGTTCTTTGCAGAGAAGCTTTTGAATCAAACAACAAATGTACAACAGAACACAAAACAGCACAACATACGTTATACTAACTCTCTTTTCTTAGGCCAAACTTTTTTCTATGGAATTTACCCGAATACTGCACTCTAGCGCTGCTCAGCGTTGCGATCGCTTCGGAAGTTCTTTGTTTACTGTAAAGAACTGCATTGAAGTTTCGTTCTTTTGGCGGTGCTTTTCCTGTGCAGCTTTAAAATTAGATCCCATCTCGCTCTCTCGCACGCACACACCCGTGAAGTTTGCACAAGCTAGTGAAAAGTTCTGCCATGGCCGCCAAAAGTTGTCGCTGAAAAAGCGCTTTTATGCTCATTGCACTGTTACTCTTTGTATCGGTGTATGCACGTTTTTGCATGTGTGGTGCTTTCGCCGCTCTTGCTCTCTTCATCGTCGAGAGCGGAAGTTTGTTGCGTCTTGTGCCGGCTTCCACTTGCTGACGCCGCCCTCCCGCACCATTTCAACAATAACAAGAGTTGTTGCTGCTTATTTGCGTTATGGATAGGCCCAGCCACAGCTGAGACAATTGGGGTGGGTCTGGTTTTATTTTAAATATATCAATTAAGAAATTTTGCTACGAGACTAAATATTTTTTTTTTTTTTTTTTTTTTTTTTTTTTTTTTCGTTTTTATTTCTTTATTTTGTTGCAGCTTATTGTCTTAGACTCTATAGCGCATTTAGCTCTAAACCTTAACTAATGGGAGGGCAGATATGCCAATTATTCTGCACTTGTAGCTACTATCTTAATTAGTTCTAATATTGTCTAGAGGATGCAATCTCTTCAGTCTTCGCCTATTGTTGTTTATAGCCAGGTTGCTTGCGAGATGGTTAGGATGCGCTGCAAGTCTGTCCGCGTATCTTGAACTGTGTCGCCCAATGAGTTCAGCAACTGTGGGAATTGCTAAATCCCTATGTAAGACTGAGTTTCTTACAAACCAGCTGGCTCCAGTCCATCTGCGTAGTGCTTTATTCTGCAGGGTCTGAATTTTGTTCCTTGTAGTCTTCGCCGAGGAGCCCCATAGAGAGATACCATATACGAAGGTTGGGACAACTATTGCCTTGTAGATGGCGGCCTTGCTGCTGTAAGACAACTTGCTTGAAGCTCTCAGCATCCAGTCGAGGGTTTTTAGCTTGCTTTTGCATTTTGAGGTTACTTGACTTATGTGCGCTTTAAAAGTCAGCCTTCTGTCAAGAGTGATACCAAGGTACTTTACTTTTGAGGCTTTGGGAATAGTGGGCCCCAATGCAACGCTTGGGCAATCTCCTCTTCTAGTGGCGAAGGTAGTATGTACAGACTTTTGTGCATTAATGGTGATACACCACCGTTTTGCCCAGCGTCCGAAAGAGTCCAGATATTTTTGTAGTGAGTCTGAAGCTTCTTGCGCAGATACGTGACGTGATAAGATGGCGGTGTCATCTGCATAGGTCGCTATGAGTACTGCATCTGTACTTCCTATATTTGGCTCGGGAGTTGGCATATCTCCTGTGAATAAAGTATAAAGTGTTGGGCCTAGAACACTACCCTGTGGTACTCCAGCCATAATTGGTCTAGTCAAGGATACTGTTTGCCCCCTTGACACTTGGAAGGTTCTTCCAATAAGGTATGAGGATAGCAACGCGAAAAATGGGGCTGGAAGGGTGGTCCTCACTTTCTGCAGCAGTCCCAGGTGCCAAACTCGATCAAACGCCTGTTTGATGTCTAAAAAGACGGCAGAGCAGTACATCTTTTCTTCAAAGGCTCCAAGGATATGGTGCACAACTCTGTGAACCTGTTCCGGTGTTCCATGCTGTCTCCTGAAGCCAAACTGATGGTTTGGAATGGCCTCCTGGCGTCCCAGATGTGTCAGTACTCGTTCCAGAAATATTCTTTCGAATATTTTGGAGAGTACTGGCAACAGGCTAATTGGTCTGTACGACTCAATTTCTCCCACGGGTTTGCCAGGCTTAGGAATCATCACAATCACGGCGCGCTTCCAGCAGGCTGGAAAGTGCCGGATGCGGAGCATGGCGTTGTACACCATAGTTATGTAGTCTATGGTGGAGTCAGGCAGTGCTCTAAGGACTCTGCCGTTTATTAGATCATATCCAGGGGATTTTTTTGCCTTCACTCTTCTGATGTGTTCAAGAACCTCTTCTTTTGTACATCCAGTTATCTGGTCTTCAGCTGGGAGGGGCGAGAGAACGATGTCTTCTGTTGCTTCGATTTCTGAGGCCTCTGCGGTAATCACCGGCGTGAATTGGTCTTGAAGGTGGTTTGCAAAAGCCTCAGCTTGAGCTTCGTCTCCAATGTGCCAGGAACCAGAAATGCTCCGAATGGGATGACGTCGTATTGGCTGCCGTTTGAGCTTTCTTGTAAATTTCCATAATTGAAACTCTGCGTCAGTGGGCGATTCAGCTCGTACCAGCGCATCGCTGATACACCTCTTTTGAAGCAGGGCGAGAGCAGCTTTAAGATGCCTCGTGGCTTCGTTGTACATGGATTTGGCATCAGGCGTGCGTAATCTTAACCAGCGTCTCCTGGCCCATCTTTTGTGTATTAGTAGGTGTTGGGCCTCCAAGGTGAGGGGGATGTTGTACGGAGACTGTTGTCTTGTTTGGCAAGATGGTGGGGCGGCTTGGTGCGCAGCTTTGACTATTTCTTCCTGCAGTTTGTTTGCTGCGTAGTCCACGTCTTCAGGAGTGTTAAGTTCCATTTCTATGTGCAAAGAGTAATGGAGCTCGCGCCTAAAGACTCCTAAATCTGATCCTGCTGGCAGTAGTTGTTTCCTAATGGGCAAGGGCTGTGGCTGCGCGTGGATTGTGACTATTAGTGGCAGGTGGTCAGAGGATAGGTCCAAGGATTCTTCAATGGTCAATTGCCGGTCACAGATGCCTTTGTAGACAGCGAAGTCGATTGCCGAGGGCCTGTGTCCATTAATTGGGTAACGGGTGGGGGCTCCAGTCGCCAATATGCTGAATTGTAAGTTTTGAATCGCCTCAAATATGACTTCTCCGCGACGATTCGCACTATTGCTTCCCCAAAATGGGTGCCATCCATTCCAGTCGCCGCCGATGAGGGTCTTATTCAACCTTTGGCCTAGAACCTGTTCCATGTGATGATCACACAGACCAGTGTTTGGCGGAAGATAAATTGACGCAACTTCGATCGCTCCAATAGACGTAGGCAGGGTGATGGCTGAGACCTGCATTGTTGCGTTGCAAATTGGCAGTAAAGGTGTATGCGGTATTGTTGCTCGTATGAGGATTGAGGATCCACCAAAGCAGTTTGCTCCTTCACCATGAGCCTGATAGTGTTCGTATCCGAAAATTTGTGTAGTGGGGCACTCATGAGTTTCTGTTATTAACATTATATCTATGTTTTCTTGTGAGAGAAACGCAGCCAGTTCCTGAGTCTTGTTTCTCAGGCCATTGGCGTTCCAGATACCCACACGTAAAGCCATTATTTGTAGGCAAGCTTGGTTATGATGGCCATTAAACTGTTTAGCATGGTTGCTTGTTGGGATTGTACTTCTCGCATCGCTTTGAGCTCGGCATTAATTGCGTCAAACTGACGTTGTTGTTGCTGAAGCATTTCAGTGAACAAAGTGTCACTTGTGGTATTCTTATTTGACGGTCCACCTCTAGCGGCCTGTGCGTAAGAAACACCACTAATAGGCGTTGCAAAGCTCGTGGCTTGGGTAATGCTCCGGGGCCTTGTAATTTCGGAAGCAGTACTCGGACCCGTAGACGGTGTTTGTGTGGGACTCCTTTTTTGTGCTGGGGATTGCAATTTGCGCAACCGCTTGTATACTTGGCAGCCCTTATAGTTGGCTGGGTGCTGTAACTCACAGTGCACACAAGTTGGTGCCTGGTCCTTTTCGCGGGTGCAGTCTTTGGATGCGTGTTTCCCGGCGCAACGCACACATCTGGGAGCTTTGTGGCAGTAGCGTTGTGTGTGTCCAAATTCTTGACAGCGATGGCATTGTGTCAGGTCGTTGTATCTTCTTGGCAGTTCCACTGTGCAGCGTTGCCTGCAGACAACTCGAATGTCCAAAATTTCTTTGTTGTTGGGGGCCTGAGCCACGTCAACAAAAAATATATTTAGCGGTGTTTTGTCCATACGGCTCAGTGGGTTGTGCACATTTGTAATTGTGTGGCCTTTGGTTTCCAATTCCTTTTTAATTAGTGTTGTATCAGTGCTGGAGTGAAGCCCTTTGAACACGACTCTATATGGTTTGTCCTCCTTAAGCTGGTAGCAGTGGAACTCCAATTCCAGCTTAGTAAAGTGGTCTATAACTCTGCGATAGTCCTCACTGCATTGGGTTAATACACCTATGTTATTCTTCTTTGGCTTAATTACGTATGATTTAGCATCAATTACTTTATCTATTATCTGTTGAAGTAGGGCCACAGACTTGATGTTTGGACACCATATGGGGGGCGGACGAGGTTTCGGTGTAGTTTGCTGGTCGGTCAATACTGGGGCTTCTGGAGCTACAGGTGATTCGCTGTAGTCTTCATCTTCTTCTACGAGCAGTGAAAATCGATTTTCTGATATTAATGCTGCATTGCTGGTGCTTGGTTCGTCGAAGATGAGCCTTTTCTTGATGGTTTTTGGTGAATTTGGCTGTTTACGTTTCGTGTTTTTGTTGTTAGTGATGCCTTGCACGGAGGCGATATCTATTTTTGAGTTTATTGGCATGATGGAGGCTTGCCTATTTGCCATCACAACGTTAAGCTGGGCTTGCATTTCTGCATTTACCTTTACAGCTGTAGCGAGGTTATTGACATTAGATGTCATCGCGGATTGTGCTTTTGAGTGCAGGCGCACTCGCGCCAAGCGACGAAATTTCGTAAATTGCAATTAAAGCAATTGAGTTACGCGGAAGCAAGCGATAAGAAAACGCTGCGTGTGCGGTTTTTGTTGCTGTTGCGTTGAAGAATGCACCGCAAAGTTCTATTTTTAGAACTCTGCAGCAGTAGAGCTTAAGCGAAGGCTGTTCGAATTCACGTCTTTACAGGTCGAACGACTGATCGCGATTGTGAGACTAAATATTGCTATAAGAATTTAAGTATTTGAGCTCTCAATATTATAGAAAATTGTACTACTACATGCATATTACACTTTTCAGTGTTTGCCAATTTTCAAATTCATCCCACATTTTATGTCCACTCTAAACGCCATGCTGATGGCAATAACTCCAGTGCACAAAATTGTTTTTGCAGCACAAACTTCACGGCCAACAGAGCGCGTTTTGTACGTATTACAAGAGAGCCAGAGAGCTAAAAATAAACCGATGGGGAATATTTCTATGCGTTTGCCTGCGTCCGGCTGGGAGTGTGTGTGGGACGCAGCTTCTTATGCTGCTGTCGCTGTTTCCCTCACACCCACAATGTGCATAATTGCAATACAAATGCATGCATGGCTCGTACCCCGTACTTGTTGTTGTTATTTGTGTTTTGTTTTTGCCATGGCATTGAAATTTTTCTATGAAGCTGATGCGGGCGCCGAAAGTTCAACAACCTTTGACTTGGCGGGAGGAGCGATGCCAATGCAAAAGCTCATTCTCAATTTGGTAAGCTTGCCTGGAATATTATTTGTACACACGCATGACATACACATACACACACATACTAATTTACATAAGTATATACATATACATACATACATGCAGCAGAGAATTTGTGACGCGCATCAAGCTTTGATGCAAGCCACAACAACTCCATAAACAGGTTTTAATGTTGATCGGCTAAATGCAACAGATATAATGAAATTTCGAGTATTCACTTACCGATTTATGTCGTGCACTGGAAAGCGACGCAGCTCCGCAGGGCTGGCCATGCAGCCTTGCATTAGGCATATCCTAGAGCTGATATTGATGAAATGCTGTTTCGCTTCATGATTCGAGAGGTTTGCACTGGGATGCAGCGACATGGCTTTGCAAATGCGCAAATTGCTCATTGTGAATAGATCAGGCAGAAAACTGGGGAAATCTAAAAGAAATTCAAAATTTAATGAGAGCGATTATAAAGTGTAGACTAATTTACTAAATACATTTACATGACTCAAGCATAATAATCAAGCACGAAAATCAGAGAGTAATAAAGAAAGACATAACACACACATACTCACGCACAAATAAAAGTGGAAAGCTTTCAGCGCTCTCTTGTGCAGCTTTCGGTAATAATAATTTGCCGCTGCAGTTTCATCTTTATTTTTTGTAATTTAAAAAGAGCTTTTCTGTGCTAGAACAGCGCTTACGCTGTTGAAAGCTAGCAGCTGCTGCCTTCCTCCGATTGCTGCTGATGTTGCAGTAGTTGTGGAGTTGTTGTTGTTGTTCTTTGAGTTATGCTCCATAACTAAAGTGCTACTGATATTTTGGTTATCTATCTATACGTACCTGTTGAGTTGAATAACCTTCCTGCACGCCACAGTGCGCGTTGTTATTGTGGCGTGCTTTGGCCTGACACGATTATCAAGAGCTCTTTGTGGGTCGTTTTCTTGAATTCTTCTCAAAAGCTTAGCAAATGTAAGGCGTTTACTTGTGCAGCTATAGTATAGGTGTCTCTCAGTTAGCTCCGCTTGTTTGGGATTACGTTCTGTCCAAGCTACGTCATGGTATCTCAAAGACTGCCAAAAGTTTCGCCTGCGTCATTTCAAGTATAATGTAAAACGTATTGAAAGCTGTCGGGCTGGCGCTTTTGTTGCTCTTTCAAAGCTCATAACTCGTGTTTTTTCTTTCTTTTCGTAAGCTTGGTTTCCATTGTCGCTCAGTAGAGAGGAAAGCTTCCGTTCAGCGCTGAGAGCGATATATATTTGGAGGGTGGCCTACAAGGTGAAAGCTTTTAAATTGTGGTACGAGATCGTAAATATTTACTACAAAAGCTTCACACATAACTTTCTGAATAAGGCTCGCAAAGCTTTGTAAGATACGTATGATATGAGTATGGTATCAAAGATAATTTATATATTAACTAAAAATTCAATTTTAGATTTAAATATTAATTTGTCTTATCATAATTGACGACCATAAATTACAGTGAGCATTCGTAAAATGTTAATTAAAAGTGTTAAAAGCTTTTCATAAACAACATTGGTCAACGACAGGTGTTAGGTGCAGCGTCGGCCCAATCAATTTTTGTGCATTAATAATAATTTGCTGGAAGCACGCTTAATACGCTATTCAAAAGCCAATCAATTGGCCATAAATTTCAATAGCTGCTCACCCAGCAGTAATTATAAATAAATATATAGAAAAACTCTTGAAAACTGCAGATAAGCAACTCGACTTGTGCCATCATTCATATTCAGTTTTTTCCTCTCCACAAAGTTGTCAATTAAAATTGTGTAAACAATTTTTGCGGCTTGTCAATTGTTCGGCAGCCTCTTTATGACCAGCCCCAATGCTTCACGCCTTGCGACCGTTAAACAACTTTAATAGTTGGCGGGGCTTTTTTTATGGACACCAGATAGTATTGTCGTAAATTGTGCTATTAAAAAAAAACAAGTTGGAATTTGAGACGACTAATTCGCAGTTCTAAGCGGCTGATTGCATTTTACGATCATAATTACAAATAGGGCTCTAAGTTGTTTTTCAGCCATGCCAATGCCTAAACCATTAAATACAAAAACAATTGTCAGAAACATACAAAAAATGGAATAAACTGCATTTCAGTTCAGTCCGCGTTTCTCTAGTTTGATTGAATGAATGATTTGTTGCCGACTTGAAAGTGTTTGCCATTGACGGCGTCTCGCGGCGATGCCAGACGTCGATAATAATCATCAGCTAGCTGGCTGGCTGTCTGTGTGTGTGTGGTCTTTTAACTGTTAGCCAGTCAGCCAACGAGTGCTGCTTGAAGGCAAAACGTTTGCCTCAGCCCGCTGATTATGTGATTAGAATATTGACAATTAAGCGCACATAAATTGATTTACTTGTAATTTTTAATGGCCTCTTACGAGTCCAATTGAAACAAGTGCTGTACATTGTCCAGTGAACACACAGCATTTAGATACAAATGATAAACTACTTTAAAAATGCTTGAACACAAAAAGAAGAATAAATTAAAATTAAAAAGTTCTTGTCAGAAGTGGGATTCGAACCCACGCCTACAGAGTAGACTGCGACCTGAACGCAGCGCCTTAGACCACTCGGCCATCCTGACTGTTGTTGTGGTCATGCTCAAGAACCAATGGCATTCTTTGTGACTGACAGCCATTGTCAGTGGCTCGATGGTGGCTTCTCTATTTTTAGCATATATTGTTACTACATGTGTGCGTGTTTGTGAGTGCGAGTGTGAATGTGAATGTGAATGTGTGCTGGCCAATCACAGTTGGCTCTTTGAACTTGGGCTGCCTACGCAAAGCGAATGAAAAATTGCATGTGGCGCCCGGAGGCAAAGACAAATTGCACTCGTCGCGTCGCGTCATGGAAAGGTGTGTACACACTGACAACGTGCAACAAAATGAAACAATAATTATATTTCGAGCGTGATAAATGCAGCGATGCAATTGATAACAACAATAATAATAATGAAAAGTAACTTCAACCGAAATCAGGTCAGAAGCATTCATCACATTGAATAAGTTCGCCGATTGGCAACTGTCAGTTTTTATATTTATTTTCATTTGTTATGCAACCGGCCAGACGGACAGCACCACCCACTGGAGCAGTGGAAACTGTTGCAGTTGCAGTTGCAGTTTCTGTGGCTGTTGCAGTCTTGCATTTTCAATGAGTTATGCAAATTAATTAAGTTATAAGCAAATGTCAACTCTGGCCAATGGCCAATGGCCAATGGCCAATGTTTTTTCGCGCGCCCTGGCCAATGCTGTTGACATTTCACACGCAGCTGCTGCAACTGCAGCTACTTGTTGTTGCAGCCACTTGTTGCTAGTACCGGTCGCACGCACTTTCAATGCATTTCAATTAGCTTCGACTGCTATTGCTGCTGCTCCACTTTGACTTTGAGCGCCGAGCTGGGGGCCTCGAGTGATATTTTCATTTTTATAGCTTGATTGTAGACATTTGATAGGCATTTATATATGTTAATCAGTTGGCTGACCTGACAGCTAAAGTTAATTAAAGTTTACGCTTTCAGAAACCATAAATTCAATGCTTGCCAAGTAACTACTCCACTCGACTCTACTCCACTCAACTCTACTCTACTCTACTCTACTCTACAAGTCGTAATATCCATTAATTCGCATGATTACTTTGCAGAGCCATCATGTCATGTCCACAGACATACACACATACATACGCACGCGCATGTATGTAGGTATGTGTCAGCATAAATTCATTGTGATTAATGGTAGACAAAGTTCTTAGACAACTGACCCATTTCCTATGCATTTGTGGCTCGTCTAATAAAGCGCGCAAGCAAAAGCAGTTGAAATAAAATTAGCAAATTGCCCGAATGTCAATCAAAAGTCATCAATCAAAATTTATGCTACTGTCAGCTTGACACAATATGTATATAAAAATATATGGATATAAAAAAAACATAAATATTATACATATATAGCGCAACGGGGCGCGGCAGTTGCAGTTGCAGTTGCAGTGGCACTCTGCTCCACTTCCAATTGCAGCAGGCAATGGCAGTGGGTGCAGCCCAACACGGCGGCTGCTTGTAAATTAGCATTACAATGGCCAGTTAACTGGGTCAACAACCATAAGAACAACAACAACAACAATTATAACAGTTGTACAAAACTTCCTAAACATCAGCAGTCAAAGAAGACTTTAAAGGGCTTGCAAACACCTTTCTTAAAAACTTGTTCTTTAATAACTTGGCTTAAGCCATTAAGCCAGTGTTGGGAGAGAATCTTCAATTATTTTTAGACTCGAAGTACTTGAGTTATTTATCTACTCGGCTTTTTTGGACTGTCAATAATACTAAATATTTATCAAATCTTATCTAGTCTTATTCACGATGCAATTTGTCAAGCAAAATTCATAATTCTATCAATCATAATCCAAACTTCTGCTTAATATGTTATTTTTATCTATTTATTATTTATTGTTCACAAAATTAACATTGACAAATGTTTTGATCACTTCTAGATACTAGATCTTCAATATATAAATAAATATATTTTTAGTTTTTCATATATAACTTACCCTTTATTCCATAACTCCTGCAATACTTATTCAATATTTTTTAAAAATTATAAACATTTTTAGAAAAAATCTTTGCAGCTTAACAGATTCTTATCTAATCATAAAATCGCTTATTTGTTCAGCATTGCCACGATTTATGAGCTGTTCGCTTGGACACCACCCGCCCAAGAGCCAAAAAGCAGAAGTCAACAGACTCTTTCAAGTTCAAAGTTGGGAGTCGTAGACAAACGCACAGCCAAAGCGGGCAGACAGACAATTGAAAGACCACTTTAAGAGCTAGAAGCATTAATCATTTGTTTTGGACTTATGTACATATCTACATACATATTTGTATATATTCTATATATGTTCTTAGTGGCTTTTCTCTTAGCGCAGAGTCGCGACATTTTATGCCAAATTTGAGCAAAGTTAATTAACAGGTTCATTGTTTCAGATGTTTGCCTGTTCTGCGCTCTTTTCATAACACACACTCATATACACACACACAATATGGGCGATTATGGGGGCGTATACGTAATGTTTAAGCGAGAGCTCTGAGGCACAAAGAAAGCGAGCTGAAATCAATTTGAAAACACGTTTAAACGCTTGTTTCTGTTTTTTGTTTTTGCCGCTTGACTAATAGAAATTTAATTAGCCATGCAATTTTGTATTTTTGCCTCTTCTCTTCACTTTTTTGCTGTTTATTTTTGTTTTTTTTTTTTTAGTTTTGTTTATGGTTTTTGCGCTTTGAGAGTTCGCACTGCACGTGCAGCTAAAGCTTTGACATATGAACGCCTGCTTGTGCGTTTGTGTGTGTGTGTGCTACCCACGCATGCGGGCTTGACGCTGCCTTTGTATCAGTGTATCATTGTATCATTGTATCAGTGTATCAGTGTGTGAAGTGAAGAAGCCAAGACAAATAAAAAGACACGAAATAAAAACAAAACTTTATGGCGCACCACACAGCAAGCAAATGCTGTTTACTCACTCTCACGCTTCCCCTCTCTCTCTCACTCGCGCTCTCTCTAATATGTACATATGCGCGCTATGCTTGCTCTCTGTCTATGCCGATCATTGCATGGACAGAGTGCCGAGAAGGTGATGCGCAGCGTTAACAGCGACGTCACAGCTGTGTGTGTGAGTCTGAAACGCACTGCACACGCTCCAAAACTGACTGCTGTGACGTCACGCGAGCAGAGATAGAGAGTAAGAGTGAGCGAGGCTCGCTGCTCTGCAGAATCTGCACTCTTCACGACGCTTTGCCATCGGCTTACTTTGAGGTTGTTTGCTGCTTGCTTTGCTGTTGCTGCCGCTGCAGTCAACAGCGCAAAGCGCAACGCGTCGGTTCGAAAATTGTTTTAACGGAAAATTACAGCTACATTTAGTCAGTTACGAGTTGTATTGTCGCAGCGCTTGTGCGTCTTATCGCTAAACTATAGCAAATTACTAGTGAATCCTCCAGTAGTAGTTGAGCCAGCCAAGTGTTTCCGCAACAGTGGTTGTCACACGCTTGCCAA